CAACTTGTGACCCTCTGTCTAGAGTTTAAACAGAGGTGGGTTGGTTTGGCCATCAGACTCAATCTTCAGCAGACTCCAACCAAGCCCAGCTAAACAATTCTCCAAACACATTCCACATGGGAAAAACAAGAAGCAGAAAGAGAAATTGTTTTCTCTCTCTTCTCTCTGTGCTCCTCTATGAAAGAATCCTGAGAGAGAGAGAAGAACGTGCCTGGCACACCCTGCCATGGTGCCAGGGGTGTTTGTGATCCCCAGCAGGAATCCTGTGTGGCTGTGGAGAGAGAGAGAGCAAAGATTTCCTGAGCGAGGCAGGGAGGAACCTCTCACAAGGAGAGGAGTGGGTGCCTCCTGTGGCTTCCCTCACTGCGGGAATGCTGCCCGCACTGCTGAGCCACCTTAGCATCGGCCCTGCAAGAACAGGAGGATTTTAAACCTTTATTTCAAACCTTTATTTCACCCCCTTCCAACACCAGCAGAAGAAACGGGAAGAGCGGGAACTGCAGAGGCCTCGTGGGACTGGGAAAAGGGAGGATGCGGAGCCAGGGAGGGCAGAGATTTCCAAAATCCACGGGGCTGGCGTTGATGCCTGCCCCTGGCACGGTGGTTCCTGCCAAGGCCAGCGTGAGAATGACCACAAGGACCGCGGGACTGCAGCCAAGCGCGGCTCGGCAACAGGGGAGGGGCTGCGAGCAGCATCCCCCGGGAGGAAATGGGAAATGCTTTACAACAGACCACGAGGCTGCTGGAAAGGCTGGGTGGAAGGAAGCTTAACCCGAGAAAAACTTCCTGACGGCCGCTGAGGCTGCCGGAGGAAATCAGCCACGATGCGCCCCAACGCACGGCAGGGCAGAGAGGATGCAGTGCCACGCGGGCGGCGGCCTGGCGGCTTTCCTGGCTGCGTGTCCCGGGAGGAACGGGACAAATTTGGGATTTCTGGGCGCGATCGGGATCGGCGGGGCTCGAACCTGCGACTCACGGAGCCCCACGGCCACGACCACGCCCCCTATAAACCACGCCCCCACACGCGATCCCCGCCCCTGATTGGCCCCGCCCCTCGCCGCCGGCGGGTCATGTGACGGGCCAAGATGGCGGCGCTCAGGGCGGCGGTGCCGGTGCTGGCGCTGCTGGCGCTGTGCCCGGACCCCGCGGCCGCCGCCGCGCCCCTGGTGATCTGGCACGGCATGGGTGAGCCGGGACCCTCCGCCAGCGGCCGCGGGGGCGGCGCGGGTTGCCTGGGGGCCGAGCGGGACCGAGGGGCGCTCGCTCCGGTGTCCCCCTTCTCCTGACCGCCGGTCTCCGCGGGGGCCGGGAGGTGCTGCCCCTCCCGGTGCCGTGGCAGCGGGGCTCGGGGTGTGTTTGTGGAGGCGAGGTGGCGCATGCCGGTGTTCCCTCTCGCAGGTGATAGCTGCTGCAATCCGGTGAGCATGGGCTACATCCAAAAACTGGTGGAGAAAAAAATCCCGGGGATTTACGTCCTGTCGCTCAAGATCGGGAGCAGCCTGATCCAGGTGAGCCGGGCGTCACCCGCGTGTCTGCGCGCAGGGGTGGGGCTGACGCCGCGGTTTTAACAGGATTCCACGAGCATTCCTGCTGTGCTTCCCTGCTCGTTTTCTCAGTGAGGTAAACGGCTTTGACAGGTAGAACCCGATAAAGTCCGGCTAATACCTGCAGAAAAGCACTGGGGGAAAACAAATCCCTGACTTAAATTGGATTAATATGCAAATCCAGTGATTAGCACACTCTAAGCACTGCAGGTAGTATGTGCTGAGGCAGAGCTTTATCCCTGGCCGTGCTTCTCGATTTGCAAACATTTATTTACTTCAGTGTGTAAAAAATTACACACTTCTGCCCCTTCGTGGGTTTTGACAGGTTTTTATAGTTCTTTCAATAATAATGTGCAGTGCAGGTGGTTTTGTGGGTGCTGGAGAAGTTTGATTTTTAAGTTTGAACAAAATCTGAAGAGATTGAAGTTGTGAAGGAGTTTGGGGAAATGTCAGTGTCCCATACGAGACAGAGCAGGAGGGGAAGGGGAAGTGAAGGTAAAGGGAGTTCTCAGAACTGGAATTACACTTCCTGCGAAAACTCAGGTCCTCTTTCTAAACCACAAATGCCAGTGGTCTGTTTGCAGAGCTGAGAGCAGCACCAGCCAAGGTACAAAGTGACCCATGTGCTGCTCTGATCCCCCAGGACATGGAGAACAGCTTCTTCATGAACGTCAACGAGCAAGTGAGGGAGGTGTGCGGGCAGCTGGCCGCGGACCCCCGGCTCCAGGGCGGCTACAACGCCATGGGCTTCTCCCAGGGAGGCCAATTCCTGTAAGTGCTGCTCTCTGCCCCAGCCCCGGGGCTCTGCTGCCTGCAGCTCCTCCTTGAACACCCCTCAGCACTGCTCCAGGGGTCAGGCTGTGTTCTCCCTGGCAGGGTTTAAACCCCCTGGCAGGCGTTGCATCAGTGCCCAAACCCGCACAGGAGCTGCTGCTGGGGCCTGGGCGTGCTCTGCTCAGCTCCTGCTCTTCCCCCACAGGAGGGCTGTGGCCCAGAGGTGCCCTGCTCCTCCCATGCTCAGCCTGATCTCCATCGGGGGACAGCACCAAGGTAGTGTCCCCTGCAGCACCTCCTGGGTGCCTTTTGGGGCTCTTTCCTAAACTTGGATCACTTTATTACCAATTAAGTCATCCCTTTGTTGCTGGCTGGATCTGGTGATGAGTTTGGCCCAATTAGTGTTTGCTGATTTCATTATCTTGATCTTGCTTAATTGGCAGTGGAAAGGGACCTCTGTCAGCAGCTGGCTTCACTGCCTGGGTAGATTCTTACACACCTTGGGATGAGTTATTTTGTGGGGAATTTCTGAAACTGAACCTTCTGACTCTCGAGGGTATTTTACAATCAGCATCTGGTCAGGCCAAGGCCCCAAGGAAAGGGAGTTGTGAAAAAGGAATTAAGGAGTGTGGAGTTAAGAGTGGCTGGTGGTGAATTCCGGATCCTCTGCCCTGAGAATCCCACAGCTCCTGGAGTTTGTTTGTGGTGGAGAGGGAGAATTTGTAGGGAGCACCCAGCACTCCCCATCCCTTATCTGTGCACAGCTCCCGGGGCAGGAGGGCTGTCTAAGGAGCTTGCAGGGCTACAAGCTGCCTGATTACCTGGCTAAACTCCTGCTCCTGCTGTGCAAGAGGTGCTTTTTGTGCAGCAGGAGGGCCCCAGGGCCCCAGCTGGGCTGACTGAGCTGTGTCCTGCCCAGGGGTGTACGGCTTCCCACGCTGCCCCGGGGAGAGCTCCCACCTCTGCGACTGGATCCGAAAAACCCTGGATCTGGGAGCCTACACAAAGGCTGTGCAGGAGCAGTGAGTACATCCCCCAGGCCAGGCCACAGGAGCAGCTCTGCCTTGCCAGGCTGAGCCTTGCTTTGTCCCCTCTGCAGCTTGGTCCAAGCAGAGTATTGGCACGACCCTCTGAAGGAGGAGGACTACAGGAAAAACAGCATTTTCCTGGCTGACATCAATCAGGAGAGGGTAAGGACACTGCTGACCTGTGGGCAGGACAGCAGGAGCCTGGGAAGGTTGAAGCTGAAGGGTTTCCCTGTCTCTGAGCTCTGCAGTGGCTTGGATGTGTTCTCCTCCTTCCATCCAGGGCATCAACGAGACCTACAAGAAAAACCTGATGGCTCTGAAAAAGTTTGTGATGGTGAAATTCCTCAACGATACCATGGTGGACCCTCCAATCTCTGAGGTGAGGAAGGCAGGGCAGCATTTGGGGCCTCCTTGTCTCTGGCTTGTCCTTGGCTGGCAGAAGTGGAGGTTGCAGAGGGGCAGGCTGGGCACAAACACAGGGCTGACACTGCCCTGGAAGCTTGCTGGGCTCCTGGGAGCCCTTCAGCAGCTGCTCCTTCATTTTTGACCCATTTTTATGCAGTGGTTTGGGTTTTACAAAAGTGGCCAAGCCAAGGAGACCATCCCACTGCAGGAGACCTCGCTGTACAAAGAGGTGAGTTCTGGGGGCTTCTGCTGTGTCCCCTCTTCACTGTCCCTGGGTCCCACAGCTCTGCTCCTGCCACTCCTGGGGCATTTCCTGCCAGGAAATGCTGTTTGTTTGGGGGGACATTTCCCTCCAGCCCTTCCTGGCACTGGTGGGACCCAGGGGATGACATGGGAAGTTCCTGCCTGGCTCAGGGTGCCCCTCAGTGTTTCATGAGCTCTGCTGCTGTTCCAAGAGTCCCCTGGAATCCCTTTCCCCCTCCCTGAGGAGAAGAGCAGAGGTGGAATCTCCCCCTTCTCCCCACAGGATCGCCTGGGGCTGCAGGAGATGGACAAAGCAGGGAAGTTGGTGTTCCTGGGGGTGAAGGGGGATCACCTGCACTTCTCAGAAGAGTGGTTTGACAGCTCCATCCTACCCTTCCTCCAGTGAGGCTCCCCTGGGCAGGATTTTTCTCTAACTAACACCAGCCACTGCAACAGCGCTCGGTGCATCCAAGCCTGCAGGGATTTGGGGAGGGGGTTTGGCTCAGGGGGTTTGCAGGGTGGAATTCCACTCCCAGCTGGGTTGAGCCTTGCCCTGACTCTGACACACTCCAGGGCCTGGTGAATCCACCCGAGTTCTCAGAGCTGTTCTCCACCCCCTGTTCCTGCTGGCAGTATTAACCCAACTCACCAGTGCAGGGATCAGCAAGACTCTCATGGCAATCCTGTTACAGCCATGCTTCAGGATGGGGGAAAAGGCCAAATTTAGGGGTTTCTGGGGGGAAAAAAAAAGGGTTTGGAATTCAGCAGTATTAACAGCTTGAACAGTTTTCCACTAATGGCTTGGTTTATGTTCTTTTGTACCACTGAAATCAATAAAGAACTTGCCATCTAACCAACTAAATAAAAGCTTGGACAGCTGCTGACTGTGTTTGGAGGGGAGCTGAGGAAATTCTGGGGATGTATTCCAAGGAATCAAGGAAGGGTCAGAGGCAGAGAGGGGCACCTTGTCCTGCCTGAGCTCCCCAAAAAGAGACGAGAGCCACAGTAATGAGCAAGTTGGCATTAACTTTATTCTATCTTCTGTATAATCTTAAGTACATAAGAAAGGTTTTTTCACAAGCCTCAGGAGAAGACAAGTACAAGTCACAGGACAGTTTCAAAATAAAAAAAAAAATTGCATAATTTTTTTCTCTTTTTTTTTCTTTTGTAAGTTTTGTACTAGAGAAAAAGAACATTGACACTTTACAGAAGAAATGCATTTAAGATATGCTTATGCCACCCGAGGCGTTGGAAAAATGAAGGTCAAAGCACGTGCAGCTCCCTTTATGGGTCAGTACAGTACTGTGTGATCCATCACTCTGCTCCAGGGCCCTGGAACAGAGGCTACGAGCTTCCACCAAAATAAAGAGCCAAGCAACAGGGGGAAAAAGGGGGAGGATTCAGTGGGGGCTGATTGCAGTGAGGAAGAGAGTGATGAACCGACTCGATCCAACTCGGGTATTTACAGCTCTGCACTACTGACCTGGAATGGAGGAGCTCCTTCCTCTGGGGAAGGACACAAAAACCATCCTGGGAGACTGAAGCTGAGTTCAGCTGCTCCAGGAAGGAAGCCCTGGGGCAAAGATTCCCTTGTGAAGGTGGAGGGCTGATGGAATGAGAGGTGCTCAGCTCCAAGCTACCAGCCAGGCTGCTGGGTGGCCGTGGTGACAGCGCTGCAGCCTTCCTGTGGCACTGGGGAACGAAAGCCTCCTGTCATGGCACAATCAGGAATGCACTGAGCTAGTGGGAATGATGGAAGAGAAATCAGGGTGGAATTGGCCCAAGTCCTCAGCCTTTGGTCCGACAAAACCGTTCCCGTGTCCTGTGATGGCACCAGCTGCTCCAGAGGCTGGAACGAGCAGCTTGCAGGAGCTTCCCAGGACAGCTGCTCTAGGGCTGGGGACTGTGAACTCCGACAGACACCGTTACTCCTTCAAAAGGGGACAACACTCCTCTCACATCAACAGCTTTGCTTAAAGGCAAGACGAAAACAACACTCTGAAAGCCAACTGCCAGGACTGGCTGTGAAGCTCACCGAGACTCTGATCGGTTGGTGCAGTTAGATGGGACAAGGGGAGAGAAAAATACACCTTCCTGCTGAGAGAGGTGGACAACCACTGACCCGCCACCTACCCCAAGCCCCAGGCAGAGGAATCTCAGTGATGGCAGGCAGCTGTGTCTCTCGGGTAGAAGAGAAGCAGTTTGAGAGCAGAAAGGTACAAGAAATCTAAGAGAATCATCTGAAAGCAGATTTGTCCCACAGCAGGGCCAGGGGATGAGCCTTGGAGCTTTTCGGCTTAGCCAGCAATTTCTGTCACAGTGGTAACCAACTTCTGACCGTTCCACACTGTCTTGAACTGTTCTGGGACAGGGAATTCAGTCTGGAGGGTAAAAACAGAAAGCTATTGTCAAAAATCAGTTTATGGCTGGCATTAGTAACCACTCCCACTGCTTCAGGCATTTCTTTTCTCAGCTTTGTGCTTTGTGTTACCTCCTGTACCATCACTGGTGCCTGTTCTGCCCCCAAGAGATCCTGAGGAAGAAGCAGCTCTCACAAACCAGCAATAATCTTATTTACAGATGTTTCTTTGCTCTTTTTTTTTTAATCACATCATCATTCACAACCTCCAAACTCTACCCCACTGTAACCAACACTCCCTGCAGGGCTTTACCAAGACACAACTCCAATATCCCCCAGCCCAGCAGGGCTGCAGGGGGATCCCAAAGCAGCACTTACAAAGTCTCCCCCCTCGGTGGGGATGAGCACGTTCATCTCCGAGGACTTGGCACTGACGATCTCGCAGTCGAGGGAGCTCTTGCTCAGGTACACGTGGCACCCATCTGTCTTGTTGATGGAAATCGTTGGCACTTTACCCATGACCTGGCAGGGCCAGAGCAGAATTAGGTTAAACTGGACAGCCACAGCATTTTTTGGTGTGTTTTCTTTCAAGGCAAGAGGTTTGACTCCCAAGCCCTCCCCCGTGACGATCCCACAGGATTCAAATATTCCCACACCTTTAGCAAAAATCCAAAGTTTTTGTTTGCAGTTTTCCTCAATTTCATGTTCTGACCTCTTTAGAGCAAAACTTGAGCCAGCATTGGGCAAAGTGACCATCTCAAATCAGATGCCCAAACTGAACTGGAATAAATCCTACTGCTGGCCTCCTGCTTTGGCAGCCAAATGTGCTTTCTACCTCACAGAGCCTCAGCTCTTACCCAAACCCTGAAACAGCTCAAAGACATACATTTCAGCCCTTTTCCAAGAGTGTTTCATGGATAATCTCCACAGCTGAACACTGGTCTGGAATACAACTACTCCAGAGCCAGGAGGGACAACAGGTCACCCACCTGAACTTTAACATCCCTGCTGTTGATGATCTCTACAATGCCCACCACGTCATCAAACACCAGACCCAGCTTCTTGCAGTTATCTGCAAAGAAAAGCAGATCAGGGCACAGAGATTTTGGAGGCTCCAGCTCCTGCACACGCAGCAGCAGGCAGGAGCAGCTTTCAGGGAGCAGCTTTCACCCCACTCACCGAGGGTGATGGAGTTGATCTTGCCTTTGATTTGGAGTGTACTGTTTGTGCACTTGAAAACATATGCTACCTGCTTCAACTCTGTGTCACTGATGACCAGGTTAGTGGCATTCTCTTGGTTTTCCTGAAAAGGCAGTGGAAACACACTTCATTTTCTGAATGCAGAGCAATTAATCCATTAAAACTCCTTTAAAAACAAACAGGTGCCTTCAGGCTGGTGCCTCTTAGGAGGAAGTTCTCCAGAAGAGCCCCCTTTGCTTTTCCAAAGCTCCCATCCCTCCAAACCCACTCCTGCCAGCACCAGGCACTCACCACTCTCCACTTTTTGCCTTCTAATTCTAGCAATGGAGGTGCCTTCGGGGAGGGATTAGCATTACAGGCTGGTTTGGGAGCAGTGAAAGGTTTGGGGCCACTTCTCACGGGACCCCCTTGGTTCTTCAGGGCTGGATTCTTGTGGGTTTTCATGTCATCTGAGACGTGCCTTAAGCCTGCAAGAGAAGGCAAAGCTGAGAGCCAGCTCCCTCCAGGAATGCAGCTCCACAAACACCAGACATCAGTGGTTACACCAGTCAAGATAACACTTGTGAAAACACAAATAAACTCCTAAGGCTGGGGCTGAGTTGAGCCCAAGTGTGAGTGACAGGAGGGAAGGAAGAAGCAGGAAATGCTGGTGCAATATTGACAAGAACACAACGTGAACCACAGAACCAGAGTGTGCCAGCTCTTCCACTCTGCAGCTGGAAAACACCCCGAGCCCAGCACCTCGTGAACTGATGTGCTCAGCAGGCAACACAAAAAAGGGAAAAATTTGTGCAAACAACACCTGCCAAATTGCAATTTTGTACCAGAAAATGCAGGCAACCAAAGGGCTCAGCCTCAGCTTTTTACAGCTTTGAACAAGTTCATGCTTTGAACGATTCTCCCCCAGGAGCGCTCCCTTTGTCCCTGGGAAAGCGCTGCCAGCCCCAGCCTGGGACCAGGTGGGTTTTTATGTGCTTTTGAAGCAGGGGCATGGAGGGGCAGCAGGAAAACGAGGAGCAGCAGCACAGCAGTCCCTCCTCCCTCCTCCCTCCCTGTGCCCCGACGTACCCGAGGTGATCCCTTCTCCCCGGTTGATCTGGGCGAAGAGCGCCGAGCGCGAGGCCGAGTCGTCCGTGCTGGAGCTCCCGGGGGCAGGAGGAGGGGGAGGCCCTGGAGGAGGGGGTGCAAGGCCAGCCGGGGGGGCAGGGGGTGCTTTAGCCCCTGCTGTGGCTACAGGACCCTGGAAGAGCAGGGGAGAGGAGAGGCGCTGGCACCGGCTCCGTTGGCGCCGCGGGGAGCCCGGGCTCGCCCCGGGGCTGCCTGTGCAGCCAGCACTCACCGCTTTGCTCCAGGTCAGCCCCGTGGTGTGGTACTCCTTGATGTAGGCCTGCAGCTCTGTCCAGATGCTCAGGTAAGCTTTGACCCAGTCCACTTGTTTTTTGTCTCTGAGGACACAAAGAGGAGGAATGAAAGGCCGAGGAAAGCGGCTGTGCTCAGATGCTGGAGCAGCCCCAGCAGTTCAACAGCATTCCTGAGAGAAAAGGTGGACTTACACATCCTTGTACTCCTTGAGGATCCGGTTGGTGTAAAACATGGCAGCATCAGTCATTTCCTTCACGTAAGGACCGGGCTTTGGAGCCTAGAACAGAAAGAACATGTTGGCACTGAGCAGCCCACCAGGGAGATTCTCCAGAGCCCACCTGTGGCAAGCACATTTATCTCTCCCTCTCAGGATTTTTCACAGAGGTTCACAGAGAGAAAAGAAAGAGAAAAAAATTTCTATTTCTGCTCCTTGTTTTTCCTATGTAGAATGTGTTTGGAGAATTGTTTACCTGGGGTGAGTGCTTGGTTGGATTCTGGTGAGGATTGTTTGAGCTGATGGCCAATCCAACCCACCTGGGGCTGGGCTCTCAGAGAGGGTCACGAGTTGTGTTAAGAGAAAGTAGTATGTAGTTTTAATATCTTCCTTTTTATATAGTATATTAATGTATTTTAGCATAGTTATAATGAAGAAATCATTCAGCCTTCTGAATTGAGTCTGACATGGTCATTTCTTCCCATTGGGTTTGCCTGCATTTACAAGACCCACCAGACTCCCCGGCAGCCCAAGGAAAACCCCTTCCCACTGGAAGCAAAGCCTTACCATGGCCACCCAGCCCAGGGCTGGGATGCTCTCGCTGACTGCTGATAAGTGGTTGAACAGTTTGCTGCCACGGTTCTTCTCCCTGAAATTCTGCACGGCCTGGATCTGCTCCGAGATGGGCTTGAGGAGCTCCGAGAACACGTTCTGCACAACGACACACAGGGACAGCTCCAATCAGGGAGATTAATTAGCACGGCTCTGGAATGGCTGCACAGCTGAGGTGAGGCTGACCCAAAACAAGATTCCAACTGGCACCAGTGACTGCTACAGCTCCTGTGCAGGCCTGGCCCTCTCCAAGCCAGCCTTGGTCCCACAGCCCAGCTCCTCCGGGGCTGAAGTCATTGCTCCCATCGGATCGGCGCCGTGGGAGAACGCCAAGAACTGTGACTCATGTTCAATCCAGGAGACACTGACAAAGCTTGTTAGTAACGAGGACAGAAATAGCATTTGCCTTTCCTGGGTTCTTTTGTTCCAACACAGTTTGTTCAATTTTTCCTCTCCTCCACGAACCCTCGGAGGAAGGGGTGCTGGGCAGGTTTGGTACCTACAGCCCGCCCCACAACCAGAGTCTCAGCAAGCTCAAAGGTCACTCCCATTAAGTCAAATTTGAGGATTCCAGTTATTTCCCAAGCCAATCCTTTAGTATTTGGATGGTAAAGTTTTGCTCTTGTGTGCTGTTCCCTTGGAATGCTGACTGGAAGTGCCAGAAGTGCTCTGGGGTCAGAGCACAGCAAAGAGCCAATTCCATGTTTCCAGAGATGCCTCTGAGGCAACTTTTCCATCCTTTAGCACCGGAGAGTCTCCTGCTGGTGGCAGCAGAGAGGGACAAATTTGGGCAAAACTTGCTTTCCAAAGCCTCAGCTTCTGCTTTTTCTGCTCTTTCCTCTGTTTAGATGAAAACTGAGAGGTCCCAAGCACCGCTGGCCAGACCACACTTTCAGAAGCTCCAGCCCAGCAGCACATTCCAGTCACAGGATGGGGAAATTCTTCAGCACTAGCACTGAGAGTTCACACATTTTGCATTTTAAACTGGCTGCTCCAGAATGAGACTCCTGCCAGACATCCTGCACAAAGAGCTACCCTAGATTAGGGCTGTTCTTTGTTCATAATCCTTTATTTAAATAACGTGTCCGTGGGATTTGTAAGCAGATTCTCAGGCTAGAGGCTGCACAGAGCTGCACCCCAGCAAGCCTGGTGGAACATAACAACTCTGCAACCCTGCTGATTTTGGGGGAAAAGATGCAGATCTATTTTGCAATGAATAGGGAAGGAGCACAGAAATCCAGCTCCCACAATGTAACAGTAGAAGCCACGACTGAGTGAGATAATAACTGCAAAGAAAAGCAAGGTGGGATCCTGTTGCTCGGGAAAAACAGCTCTCAGCAGGGAAAAACCAATGCATCCAGGATCAGATTCTCAGCCACACATCCTGCTGAGAAGCAGCAGCCCAGGGTAAAGTGTTAAATTACCTTCTAAGGACAAATCAATCCTAAAAGCCCAGCCATTATTCAGAGGCCATTCAGTAGATACAAGTGTCTGCTCTGCTGCTGGAGGAGTTTGATGCCTGCAAGTCTCTGAGCATCACATAATGAAAAGCAGGAGTTACACAAATCCCAGGGTGGCTCCTGGCTCAGACAAGATCCTGTCTGCAGCTTCTCAGGGAGCACTGATTGAGCAGAGCTGGTGCCAGGTGAAACTGGAGACAGAGGCTGGGAGCTGACAGCCCCGGCCTGCTCTGACAGCTCCACAACACTCGCTGCTGTAAAAACAGGGAAACTCCAGTTCTGCAGCTCCCACAGCTACTGGGGAGCACCCAGAGCACTTCATGCCTTCAGCGAGTGTCCCCAGTCCTCCTCCAGTGTAAAAGATTTTAGAAAGTGCAAAAAGGCCTCAGAAAGTAAACATAAAGCTAAGGAAAGCTGGGAAATTTCAAAACCTTCTCATGGGAAGCTAGGAAGTTAAGAACCAAGTGAATAAATTTATATTTATCATAAGGAACAAGAAAGAACAAGAACTTACTGATATTTCAAGGTGTGAAAAGTCCTAGATACATGCTTTGCAAAGATAGAAAAGTTCCCCCAACACGTGCAGCCACCCCTGACCCTGAAGGCAGAGATTTCTGATCAGGGATTTCCCACACTCACCTCTGCTGGCTGCTGATGCTGAGATGCCACCACCAGAAGAGCCCTCTCGCTCATCAAGCCTTCATGGACCATCTCAGCCTAAGGACAGACACAAACATGAGGGAGAATCCCTTGTGCCACACCAACAAATCATCCCAGCGGCGAGGAACCGGCCACAGCGACCCCGAAGAACATTCCTGGAGGAAACCATCCCCAGAGGAGCCTCACCAGGGTGTCACAGCTCAGGGCTGGGGAGTTTTCAGGCCTCCTAAAGGCCCTGCCCCAAGGTCTGCACACAGCCAGGCACTTAAGGGATTCCAGGAGAAGGTTTGATTCATCTTGAGGGTGGAGGTGGCAACCTGGAGTTAATCTGGGCATCTGCTTTGAATCCTCAAGGATTATAAAGATCCTGGGATACAGTGCCAGGGGAATGCAGATTCTGACAGGAAATTTGGCCCTTCCAGCCCTGAGGACAGGCAGCACCTCCAGAGCAGAGGGGGAACAGGAATCCTTACGTGCTTCTGCACATCCCCACCAACTTCTCTGCTGATCTTGGTGTACTCGGCCACCGGCCCGGCCAGAAGGGCATCGAAAGCCTGCACGTACTGAGCCACTCCTGTGGAAAAAACCAGAGCACAGGAATCACCAGGAGCACCCCACAGCCCTGGGCTGCACCTCCCACCTGCAGGAGGCTGAGGAAGTGCTGCAGCCACGGAGATTTCACCTCCACAGGGCAGCCCCCTCCAGCCTGGCTCCCCCAGAGCGTGCCCCGTGCCAGCTCTGCACAGCTGCTGGCACTGCCCTGGGCCTCACCTTTGGCAGGGGCATCTCCACACATGCCAGGGCCTTGGCACACGGTCTCCAGGCGCTCCACAGCCTTCTCCAACCGCTCCACCAGCCTCTCCATGTCTGCTGCTGTCCACAGCCTGCACAGACAGGAGACAATTACCTCCATACTCAGGTGCCACAGAGGGTTTATGGCTGCCTGGTACGAGCTCTGCCAGTTCCAGGAGAATCATTCCTGGCCAGCTCTGCACCCTCACATTAGCCAAGACAGCTGGGTTACACAACAGCCTCTTGCTGTTGCCACACTCGCTCCTTAATAGTTTCTATTCCGTTTTAAGGACTCCTTACATGTGTAAGGACATAAAATTTGACCTTCTAACCTCGTAGTGACACCACTCAGGGACACAAAGGTCTGCCCAGGTTCTCACTGCAGTCAGCTCCTGGCCAAATCCCAGCTGTGACCACACAGCTCAGCTGCTTTGCTGGGAGCTCACACGCTGCCGGTGAAAACTACGGGGCTTGAATCTCCAAATGCATCTGGAAGGATCTCCTGGAGTCCTAAATTGCTCCCAGGAGCATCTGTAAGCCCAGCACTGCTCCAGCACAGAGCCTGAGCCACCCTGGCACACGCCAAGGGGAGCAGCTGCACGAGCTGAGGCAGCAGAGCTGCCTCTGCAACAACAGCCCCTGTTCTTCCTCTGCAGCTCCTGTGTTTGCAGAACCTCCTCTGCAGCCACTGCACCAAGAGACTCAGGCACAAAAGCCATTTGCTGCACATCATCTGGAAAAAGTCTTAGAAGTCACATAAACTTTCCATTAATTACTGCTTTGCACCAAGCAACAAGACAGGTCACGCTCCCAGCAGAGTAACGCCCAGGGAATGCAGGGAGGGAGCAGCAAAGTCACCAAGGGCGTTTTTATCTTATCACCACTCATCAAAAGATTTTACAGCATGAATCACGACGGTGGCCTGGACACAGCTTCCTTCTGAAGGGGTTGCTGAAGCCTGCAGAAGCTCAGTTCCTGTCTGGAGGAGGGGGTCAGTCCCAAAACACCCCCTAGAAGGCTGCAGGAGGAAGGCAGGGTTTACTCAGCTGAACTGACACCGCATCCCCTCTGAGAGGAAACCTCAAGTTCTCACTCGAGTTTTGCTTTTGTTCAGCCCTGCTGCTTCAAAGTGCACGCTTTCACCTCATTTCCAGAGGATGTGGGGCAGGTCCAGCATCAGTCACGAGCCCAGCACTGATGTCACAAGGCAAACAAGGCCTTTTTTCAGCCTTTTTCGGCCTGCTTGCAGCAGGACAGGCAGTTTGGAGAGGCCACCCCCACTTCCAGGAGGAAGAGAAGCGGTTTCCTCCTGTCCACGCTGAGCCAGGGCACAGAAACCCGAGAGAGAGACTGGATGGCTCCCAGATACCCACCCAAAATGAGAGTGCAGAGGAGCTGGAACTCCACTGCAGTCCCCCCTGCATTCACAGTGACAAACAGCTCTGCTTTTTAATTCTGAGCCGTGCAGAAAAGCAAAAGCCCGACCGCAGCTCCTCCGACCAGCCGGCAGAGCCGCCCCCGCTGCCAGCAGCTCCCAAACTGAGCTTCTGTCCCCAAAAAAACACCTGCTGGGGTGGCTGTGCCCCTAAAAACAGCCACCTGTTAGCGTGGCTGTGCCCTCAAAAAAGCCATCTGCTCAGGGGGCTGTGCCCCCCAAAAAAAGCCACATACTCAGGTGGCTGTGCCCCCCAAAAATCCATCTGTTAGGGTGGTTGTGCCCCTAAAAAAAGTCAACTGCTCACATGGCTGTGCCCCCAAAAAAAGCCATCTACGCGGGTGGCTGTGCCCCTAAAAAAAGCCATCTGCTATGGTGGCTGTGCCCCCCAAAAAGCCACCTGCTCACATGGCTGTGTCCCCAAAAAAGCCACCTGCTGGGGTGGCCATATCCCCAAAAAATGTCACCTGTTAGGGTGGTTGTGCCATGCCTGGAGAGGGATGTGACACGGGGACGGGACAGGGGGATGGGACACAGGTACAGGACAGGGGGATGTGGCACAGGGACAGGACAGGGGGATGGGGCACGGGGACAGGACAGGGGGATGTGGCACGGGGACAGGACAGGGGGATGTGACATGGGAATGGGACAGGGGGATGTGACACGGGGACAGGACAGACAGGACAGGGGGATGTGGCATGGGGACAGGACAGGGGGATGTGACACAGGGACAGGACAGACAGGACAGGGGGATGTGACACGGGGACAGGACAGGGGGATGTGACACGGGGACAGGACAGGGGCACACAGAGCTGCTCGTTCCCGGCCAGGCTCTAATCCGATCAGCCCCAGCAAACCAAACCGCAGCTGGGATCGGGATTAGCCAGCACAAAGTCCAGCTGGAAAGCTGCTTCCCACCCCCTGCAGCAAAGGAGCACATCCCCTGAGCTCCGGGTGGCATCAAGGTGCCAAAATCACCCAGTGCCATCCCTGGCATCCCTCCCTCTCCCTGCCATTTGACAAGTCCTGCCTTGTTTTCCCCGAGCCCTCGGCTCCCTTTCTGCTGCTGTCAGGCAGATGGTGAACTCGTTTTAATTTCCTTTTAATGGGTGGCATTAGGACAATTTACAAGATAAGTCAGTTGGTAAATTGGCAGCAAAATCAGAGCTAAGTGCAGGCAACACAAAGTCCTGGATCTCGGGGCCCTCCTCCTGACTCACCCTCCCTGTGCTCTTTGCCCTGTGGATGCAGCTATTTGTGCTGCCTGGATACCCACACGGAGCGAAAGCAAAAGATTGAGCTGTAAATAAATCAGAGATTGCAACCCAGAGATTAACATTCAGCAAGGAAAATAAAAAAACAACCAGCCCGGACTGCACCTAGACAGTGTTTTGTCTACTGGCCTGCTAGAATGTAAAATAATTCCACAGGAAGTGACAAATCGACTACACAGGTCCCAGTGCAAACAATCAGGTGTCTGAAGAGACACACAGACCATCCAGGAGGTATTTTTGGTTTTTTTTTTTTGGTTCTAGAGATCATCCTGCAGTAATTTCTGCTCTGCACATCACCCAGAGGGATGAGGGAGACTTTTCCAGCTCCCTGTGCAGGGTTGGAGATGCAGCTCTCCCTTCCAGGAGCACAACACAGGATTTAAATCTTGTTCAAATCCAATTGAACTTCGATTAGCAGCGGAGCGGAAGCAGCAAACACAGCTTCAGCCAGGACCAGAGGGGCCATTCCTTTTTTCACAGCACATTTGTTCATCTATCAACTGCCCTTTATTCCCATCACAGCCTGGGAACACGGCTCTGGACACGCTGTGCCACAAACAGGCACAGAGCAATAAAAGGAAGGGATTTTATTGGTGAAAACATCACTTTAGCCCAAACCCTGCACATCACAGCAAGAGCAGCTTCCTGTTTGGGCAACATCCAGGAGCTGTCCCAGCCTCAGAGTGAGCAAATTCTCAGAAAACCCACCAAAATTGAAAGGATTTGCTTGCCTGAGACAGCACATGAACCTGAGCCCTTTCTCAGACATTCTGGAAGACACAAATGCTGCTTTTATAGCCAAAGCAAGTCAAACCTACGCTTCTGCTCACAGCGAGCCCGACACGCTGCTGTCAGCACCACGGAATTTGCATCAGCTACTTCCTGTTTCTACAGGCAAAAGAAATAAAGATGGGACAACTAAATTAGGAACATACCACAGTTTATTTCGGAGCTGACACTGGAATATCTCAGGGGATCAGCTACCAGATGATTTCCAGCATTTATATCTGCCAAAAGCCCAAAGAAAAAAAATGGTTTTTTTCTTTTTTAAGCGGTTCAGCTCATCAAGGCAAGAATGGTTTGAAGGAAGGCAGGAGTCAAATGCCTGAATTTAGCCAGTGGTCAGGAGCAGCCGTGAACACAAGACAGCTATTGCTGGTCCCAGCAGCTGCCAGGACAGAGATCTCAGCTGTTTATAGTCCAACAATACTTGCTGACATTGTGCCAGAACCCGTGCTGGCTGCTATTGCAGATCCACTTTATTTAGAAAACCAAGAGTGCTTTAAAACAAAAAAAAACCCAAAGAAAAAAAATCTATCTGGCTCCTGTTCCAGCTTTCCCATACAACAGATCCTCCTAAAGCCATTGCAAATGTTATTTGGTGTTTTACTCACAGGTTAAGAGGGGGTTAAAGCTCAGCACTGGAGCCAAGGCTCCTTTTCCAGCACAATTTTGTGAATTAGGAGGTTTGTGCAGGGAGGGAAGCCCGGATCTGGGATCTGAGCTAGGCTGGATGCTGCAGCGAGCTCCAGCTCAGCAATTCCGAGCCTGGGAGCTGCTCAGCATCCCTCCCGTGCCCGCTCCAGCACCAGCACGGGCTGCTTGGCTGAACTTTCCGAATAATTGGGGTATTTTTGGATTTCAGGGAGCTCAGCAATATTGCAGGCACACAAGGCTGGCCTCTGGAAGAGAACAGGCACACGCAGCACTGTCCCTGGGTTTTTTTCAGGGGGGATTCCAGAACAAGCCCTGAAATTGGTATTTCCCCACTTTGCTGCCATGGAAGCACGCATCGATCCCGAGGAGGAACCGGCAACGGGCTGAGGACAGGAGCCACCCCGGGGCCATGGGGACAAACCCGGGGTGATGGGACAGCCCCGGGGCCATCGCGGGCACGGCAGCCCCGGGGGTGGAGCGCAACAATCCCCGCTCCAGGCTCCGGTAACCGGGGAGAGAGCCCCGCGGGGGTGTTTGCACCGTTCTGTCCAATTAACCCCAAGCCGCCGCCGCCGCCTTTAGGGGTTCTGCCCCCCCTCAACCGGCCCGGGGCTCCTTCGGTGCCGCTCACGGTTCGCCGGTGCTGCCCCCGCGGCTGGGCTGTGTCCCCCGCCCGCTGCCCGGTCCCGATCCCCGTGCCGGGTCCTGATCCCGCTGCCCGGTCCTGATCCCGGTGCCCGGTCCTGATCCCCGTGCCCGCTCATTCTCGCCCCCAGATCCGGCCGTGTCCCGGTGCCGATCCGCGCTCAGCCCCGGCCGTGCCCGGTGCCGGTGCCGCTCCCGCTCCCTTCCACCCTGGATCCCAGCCCTGCCCGGTGCCGCTCCGCCGCTCCCGGCCGTGCCCGTTCCCGGTGCCGCTCACCCCGGATCCCGGCCGTTCCCGGTGCCCGCTCCCGGTGCCGCTCACCCCGGATCCCGGCCGTTCCCGGTGCCCGTGCCCGGTGCCGCTCACCCCGGATCCCGGCCGTTCCCGGTGCCCGTGCCCGGTGCCGCTCACCCCGGATCCCGGCCGTTCCCGGTGCCCGTTCCCGGTGCCCGCTCCCGGTGCCGCTCACCCCGGATCCCGGCCGTTCCCGGTGCCCGCTCCCGGTGCCGCTCACCCCGGATCCCGGCCGTTCCCGGTGCCCGTTCCCGGTGCCCGCTCCCGGTGCCGCTCCGCCGCTCCCGGCCGTGCCCAGCCCCGCCGCGCCCGCCGCTTCCGGCCCCCGCCCCGCGCGCCGGATGTGCGCACGGCGCGCGCGGCGGGGGGCGGGGCTTCGGGACAGCCGCCGCGCGATTGGCGGGCGGCGGTGGAGGCGTGGCCAGAGCGCTTGCGGGGCGCGGTGAAGGGGCGGGGCTTCAGGGCGGATGCCGCTCTGCGATTGGCGGATTGAATGAAAGGCGTGGCCTATGCCGGCTGTGGGCGGGGCCAAGGGGCGGGATGGGCCCGGGACCCCCGGGGGGATTCGGGACCCCCGGAGGGGCTGGGGGGGCTCCGGGACCCGCGCGGGGTCACACAGAGGGGCTGGGGGGCTTTGAGAGCCCCAGAAGAGCCAGCTGGGACCCCCCGGGGTGGGCTCTTGGGGTAGGGGGTCTTCAGGAGGTCTGGGACCCCCCGAAAGGGGTTCGGGGTGCTTTGGGGTAGGGGTGGGCTGTTGGGGTTGGGGGTCCTCAGGAGGTATGGGACCCCCCGAAAGGAGTTCGGGGTGCTTTGGGCTGAAGCGGGAGCCTCCGGGAGAGGGGCAAAGCCGAAGGTTGGGGTCTCGAGATGCCGCCAGGGTGGGGTTAGGGGGGAGGAGACCCCCTTGGGGAGGGTCTGTCCCTCTCCTGCAGCGGCAGCGTTTGTTTGGGGTGGGGGGGGTGGTCTCTGTTGGGGCTGGGAGGGGGGCGAAGGGATCACCGGGTCCCCCCAAAACCTGGCGGCAACCGCGGGGGCTGAGGTCAAGGCCCCTCTGAGCCTGGTGGGTGCGGGTGGGAGAAAGGTCCTGCTGCTGTCCGGTGGAGGAACGGGACACTGTCCCGGTAATGGCTGGGACCCTGTCCCGGGAAGGAACGGGACGCTATCCCGGGATGGACCGGGACGCTAACGGCCGGGACACGTTGTCAGGCGGGGAGGAGGCGGAGGAGGAGGAGGAGAAGCCCCGGGCGGCGCTTCCTGCCCGGCTGCGCTACCAAAGATGGGCACGGCGGTCTGGAGGCGCGGCGGGGCTCTGCTGACACCTAGCGCGGTCCCCGGCATCCGAACCTCCGCGGTTCTCCAGCATCCGAACCCACCGGGGCTCCCCGGCATCCGAACCTCCGCGGTTCTCCAGCATCCGAACCCACCGGGGCTCCCCGGCATCCGAACCTCCGCGGTTCTCCAGCATCCGAACCTCCGCGGTTCTCCAGCATCCGAACCTCCGGGAGTCTCCAGCATCCGAACCTCCGCGGTTCTCCAGCATCCGAACCTCCGCGGTTCTCCAGCATCCGAACCCACCGGGGCTCCCCGAACCTCCGCGGCTCCCCGGCATCCGAACCCCCGGGGCTCTCGGCTCCCTGCCGGTAGCCCGTGCGGACGGGGAGCACCCAGCTCACCGGTATCGCCTTCCCCGCTCCCCCGGAGCATCCCCGCACTCCCGCACTGCCCTCAGCCCGTCCTTCCGCAGAACCACAGAATAACGAGATTATTCTGTCTGTCTCTAAGATCATACCCTAACACCTCAACTATAGCACCAAGAGATGTGCTTAAAAATTATAAAGAATTATAAAGTGCTGGAATTGTCTTCCCACAACCTCCCTGAGAAGAAAATTCCAGCACTTTATAATGCTTTCGGTGAACATTTTTTTCCTGATATCCAACCCATACCTTCCCTGACATAGCCGAGGCTGTGTCCTCTTGTTCTCTCAGTGCTGCCCGGTGGAAGAGAACGACCCGCAGTGTCTACAACTTCTTCAGGGCAATAAGGTCCAGCTGGGTTCCACCTCTCCACTCACCGAGGCTGCTCCTTGGTTTTCTCAGCCCGTTCTCCACTTTGCCCACACCCCCTGTGCCCCTTGCCCTGTCTCCATCACCATCAGACGTGATGCAAAATAGAAAAATAAGGCAGCACCGCTGCCTAGTGATTTACAGCATCTTAAAAGTCGCTGTAGGGAAGAACCAGCCAGGTCCTGCCTCAGCAGAGCAGGGCAGGGGGAATCCAGGTGGGCAGCAGCCATGGGGAGAGGAAGGAGAAATCCCAGAGAAAGGGGAGAGGAACAAAAAGTAACCTGAGAATGGAGGAGAGCAGGGCTGCCCAGGAGCCGCGGTGTTTGCTCCTGGGGTGGGTCTGTTCGGCTGAGTGCAGTTCCTGGAGGAAGAAAAATCGAATTCCTGGTAGGGTTGGGTGTGTTTGCAGTCTGGAGAGTCAGCGACCTGACCTGCTCCATCCCTGCCCCGTGTCTGCTGCCACAACCCCCTTTTCTGCAAGCACAGTGGGAATATTTGCTTTGTGTTTCAGCTATGTTTTGTCTAAAATGTCTCTGCGCCACTCAGACAGCAGCTTTTGGGTTTTTGCAGCCACTTGTGGTGGGGTGAGGGGGGCACTGCAGCCCAGCTCCATTCCTGGGAAAATGGATTTATGTTGTTGATTTTTTGTTTGTTTGGTTTTTTTTCAGCAGGAAACCACGTCGCTGCCCCATCATTTCTGTCCATGTGCAGTAGCCCTGGGGCTGCTAACAAACTTGGCAACAGCTGCTTCTGCAAAATATTAACCAAAGCCCACCAAAACCACGTCAGGCTGTGTTTGCAGATGACAAGAGTGAGGTCAGCCTGGTGGCACAGACAGGGTGAGCCCTGGGGACAGCTGTGACACCCATCCTGCACAGCTGGCCTGGGTTAACTCTGCTGTCCCCAGGTGGTGACAGAGCCCAGCCCTGCTCCAGCATTCCCGCAGCTCCTTCCCAGGCTGAGCTACTGGATCTGCCTCCCTGGGGACTCTGGGGTGTGGTTCCCTTCCTGTGACAACCTGGGCTTGGTTCAGCTTCAGGTGTTTGAAGCCAACTCTGGGCGATTCCTGCTGCTCCTGGCTCCTTCCAGCCCAGGGAAATCCATCCTCATCACTGGAATGTTTCACAAACCCTGCTGCCAGATAAACCCGAGGCTTTTTGCCCTTTCCCTGCTGATAAGGAGGGGGTTTATTCCTCACCCTCTGCAAGGAGAGACTCTCCACACTTCCACTTTTTCCCTGCAGGGTAAATAAACTCGGCCTGGCTGCTGTCACCTCTGGAATTGTCCCTGCAGTCACTCCTCCTGCCCGAGCCATGCAGTCCTGCCCTTGGAGGCAGAGGATGGAGTCCTGCAGGTTGATGTGCTGCCTTCTGTTGGTTGGATTTTGTCCCCTTTGCAGTCAGCAGACTCTGCCCCCCCTCCTGCACAGGCCCCCCAAGGTCAGGGCTGACCCAGGAGCCTGTGGGACCCCTCAGCTGGGATTCAGGGCTGAAACCAGGCCCTGGCAGCTGCTCCTGGCAGGCACAGCCCGGAGAGGCAGCAGCCCTGCAGGTGTGAGCACACAGCCAAAAATGCACCCTGCCTTTTCCACCTCTTACCTCTCATTCCCTGCCCCTGGCCTGGAGGATGCAGCAGCCCTGCCAGCCCCAGCCCAGCTCTGCAGGGAGGTGCTTCCCAGCACTTGGCTGCATTTTCTCCACATCCAAGGTGTGTGTGGATTAAGCCAGAGCACAGCTGTAGGTACAGGCAACACCTCCCTGTGTGGTTTTTTTTTTTTTTTTTTGCACCACCCATTTCTTCTCCGTGCTTGGAGTGAAACCCTGTGTAAGCAAACTGGAGCACAATCCCTGCTCCCAGGCTGGAGCTCTGCCCAGGGCTCGAGTGTTAGAGCTCTCAGGGTCACTTTCCCCCCACACATCTCATTTTCTTTAAAGCCTCAAACATGGGAGGCATGCTTAGTGAGGAGTAGCCAGCCCCCAGTTCGAGCTCCTCTGGATGGTTTTAGTCTCTTGGGCTGGCTGCAAAAAAAACCCAGAGATTCCACTTTGTGAACTCCACAGAGCCAAAAAAACAAGGAGGCAAAGAAGAAAGTGTCCCTTATTTCTGTTGAAACTCTCTGAGAAAAAGCCTTAGAGGCAGCAGCACTGCCCACACCCCTCAGAGGCAGCCAGGTCGTGGCCATGGCTGGGATAACTCCTGGCCAGGGGCAGTGCAGGGGTCAGAACATTCCCAACAACCCCGAGCTCTGTGTTGGCTGGAGCCTTCCTCCTCCTCCTCCTCTTGCAAAGGGTGCTCCTGTCCCCCACCCGTCCCACCACAGGGGCTGCACAGAGTGTTGGCTTTGTGCCCCTGGTGTGTCCTGCCCTCGGGAGCTGTTTTTGAGCACAAAACCAGCTCCCAAACCATCCCATCCCCATCCCATCCCTCTGCCTTCTTTCCCTGGCCACAGGGGCAGAGTGGGGCCCGCTGCAGCATTCCCAGCTGATCCCCCTGGCTATTTTTAAACCCCATCCTCATTCCTGTCCTTTGTACCCAAATGTGGAACAAAGGATGAGCCAAACCCCCCAAACCCCCCACTCTCAGCCCAGCCCTGGCCCCACCAGCTTCTCAGTGTGCTCAACAAAAGGCAGCAGCCCCGTCCCCTGCTGCAGTGGCCTTGGGGACAGAGCAGAGCCAGCACAGGCTGGGAACTCACCCCATCCATGGGGGTGGCTGCTCCCAGCCCCTTTTCTCCAGTCCCACGTGCTGCTGGAGGCGTTGGGGAGGGCAGGGCTCTGCCCCTTTCTGCTGTGGGAGAAGGGAATGCGAGAGGGGGGTATAAATATCCAGGGAGATTAGTGCTCCCCAGCACCCTGCCCCGGCAGCCAGGCTGAGTGTCACCCACAGCCCACGTTCCCTTGCTCTCCGCTCCCCAGCTGCCTCTCCTGTTTCCAGCCTCGAGTTCACCATCTCTGCTGGCAGCACTTTGATTTCATTCCTCCCTCCACCCCCTCCCCGCTCCCCTCTTGAAAAGGAGGAAATAATGGAGCCTTTGTTGGGTGGCTGCGACACAGGCACCGAGCAAGGAGCTGCACGGGGGGCAAGGGGCTGAGCCAGCCTCCTGCCTGGATTATGGCATTCCTGCACCACGGCTCAGGAAAAGTCAATCCTGCACCCCGTGGTGTCTAAAGGGACCCAGGGCTCGCTGACAGCCGTGAAAAATCCCAGATGAGTGGGAAAAAAAAAAACCTCTTCACGCCCGCTGCCGACTTCCCCCACTTTTATGTAAATTAATATTATCAGGTCCTCGGGTTTGGGCTCTGTACAGATATATACAAACAGGAAACTGCTCTATATTTACATCATTAAGTTAATTAGGCTCTGTAAAATAAGCACAGGTCCCACATTAGTGCCCTCTGTAGAAACAGCAGAGGTGAGCTCACGTCCTGGGCGCGGGCACACTGACAGTGTAATGTACACTAACCATTACCCCCAGGCAGGGCACTGGGCACAGCTGATCCAGGCAAAACCATGCCAGGCCGGCCTTCCCTGCCCTCCAGAGCCCGGCAGGGAGATGCTTGTCCCTGGTGGGGCAGCACCATGTGTGTAATGTACACTACCAGCGCTCTGTGGGCCCCGTGCAGGGCACGGGACGGGCACAGACCCCGAGTTCGAGGCCGTGGATGCTCCACACGGCTCCTCCAGCACCTGCAGTGGCACCAGGCTGGGCCAGCCCGGAGGGGACGAGCCCCTGGCGAGCCCCAGGGTGAGCAGCCAGACCCAGCCCGGCTCACACGATGCTGGCCAGTTCTGTGTTGTCCGACTCCGAGCTGCTGTTGCTCTCCTCCCTGAGGGAAAGAGTTGGGAATGAGGCATGGATTAACCCACGGCAGCAAGGTCTGCATCCCAGTAATATCTGCCTTGGGGAACAGGAGCTTTCCAGAGGGATATCAGCACCTCGTGCAGCCCCCACACAAGCAGCTAGGGCGGGTTCCTGCTGATCTCCCAACACTTCACACCATCCCTCTGGAAGCTGGGATTGGGAAAACAAGTCAGCCCTTTCCTCACGCCACCACCCACGAGACCTGGAGGATTCCTGGATGAGTCCCAATGTGTCCCAACCGGTCTGATCCTGCCCCCACACACACACCCCCACAGGCTGTGCTTGCTGCCTGACACTCACCTTAAATCCTGCAGGGCTTTCTTGTTTTTGCTCCGCTTCTCCTCGTCGATGGGATACAGCTTGAAGAGCAGCAGGCTCAGCAGGATCAGCCCCACGGGCACAGCAGACACCAACATCTTCAGGGTGAAGTTCACCTGGCCAGGCTGGGAGCAGCCCCGGGTCTGGTACCCTGCGAAGCTGTGGACAGAAAGGCACCTTCAGACAAAGGAGACAGGGTTTGCAGGGGCTGAACTGCTCCCCGAGGGGAGAGTTTTGGGGAAATAATCAGATTTAGAGCCCACCAGCCCCCTTCCAGAGGCTGGGAAGTGCCTCCTGTTGGGGAGGATGAATAAATATGATTGCCTGGCAAAAGATTTACAATAGTACAGCCAGGATGAAAACAATCCCCCCCATTGTCCACTGGTTGGACAATGCCCTTACCTACAGATAGGTCCAAAAGTCAAATGGACTGTTCTATCTAAACCCAATGCATGGTTCATCCTACACCTGTAACCCTACCCTGAAACATCAGGAGTCTGTGACCCCATTGGCCCAAGTCTTGCTCCAGCCCACCTTGAAGCCCCCTGATAAGGAGTCCCTGAGGAGCCAGACACCCTCTTGGAACCCCCACCCTCTTGGAACCTCCACCCTCTCCTGGAGCATCCTCTTGTCTCCCTCTACCCCTTGTCTCTTCCCTTTCCCCACTCCCTCAAGCCTTGCCACGTGCTGCATCTGGCAGCTCCAAGCAAGACCTTCCACCATCCATAATAAACCTTCATTATAAGAGCAACCTTCAGAGATCTCTCGTCTCCATCCACCCAAACCATCCTGGAGCCCAGCGTTCCCTCCCCGGCCTCCCCTCAGCTCCCACACAGGAACTCACTCCAGGCTGAGCGTGGAGATGCCCAGGGAGACCCCAGCAGTGAACTTGGTGAAGAAGACATAGAAGGAGAAGAAGATGGCCTCGTGGCCATGGGAGCTGGGGTGCTGCAGCTTGAAGTCATCGATGACATCTGGCAGCATGGACCTGTGCCGAGAGAGGCGTGGTGACCACCAGGACTGGCACAACAAAGCCACCTCCTCTCTGCTGAGAGCATTTCCCCCAGGAGCCCCACCTGGGGCTGCAAACACTGCAAAAAAAAACCCTTCTGGGGGTTTTTAACCCCTTGGGCAGGCTCTGGAAGCCCCCAGCCCAGCCCCTCACACTCACCAGGGCAGGAGGAAGGCGGCTGCCACGCTGATGCCGGCGGCGACGGCCACCACATAGGTGACAAAGAGGTTACTGTCCAGGACAACCACGGCGATGAGGAAGGGGATGGCAGACTGCAGAGGGGGCAGAGACCACGTTGGCATCCCCAGGGCCTGGCCTAGACCCCCTGGTTTTTCTCCCCTCCCACATATCCCAGCCCTCCAGGGAACCAGAGGTGCAGTGTCCCTCCCTGAGCCCCACACACACCCAGGACAGCACAAACCCCAGCAGGAGGGACAGGCACCATTAGCAGCAGCCCCCGCCCAGCTCTGTGCTCTTTTTGGGGGAACTCTGCTCATGCCACGTGGTAAAGACCATCCCCACATGCACCCAACAGCTGAGGGGACACTCACTGAAATGCCCACGTAGACAGCTGTCTTCTTCCCAAAACGGGTCAGGAACCACTGCCAGAAGGGAATGGTCAAGGTGGCCGAGAGCTGTGGGAATAGAGAAGGGTCGTGGTGTTGCCTCCTGCCTGCTGGAAAGGCCCTCCCAGCAAGGAACAGCTCCTGGCAAGGTCTCCTCCCATCCCAATTCCAGCACCTGTGGTTGCCACGTGCTCCGGGGGCTGGCACAGAGCCACACGCAGCGTGTGGGGTCACCTCCTCCCCCAGAGCAGAGCCCTGGCACCACACCTGCCCCGACACAGGGAGGATCTGGCTCAATCCTCGCTGCTGGGAAGGGACCTGACCTTGTCACCTGCCCCCAGCATGGCCAGGAGCCAGGCACTGCGGCCACCACGGCACCTCGGTCCTTTCCACCCAGTGAGAAGAGGGTGGGAAGTGCTTCCAGGAATGAGGCAAGCTGCAAAGAGCTCTCAGGGAGCTGTTTTGCTCCATGCTCCTGGCAGGAAACACTGAGATCCTTTTCTCAAAGCAGGGAGGGCAAGGAGACAGGATTTGGACAAAAGGCCCCCATGGCTCCCGGTGTCCCCCGTCTGTGGCCTTGTTCACACAGGAACAAAGGCCCCTTTGCAGGACATTTGGCAGCTTCTTCTCCCTCCCCTTGTCCCAGGGCAGCCCTGATCACTGTCCCAGTGTGCCTGTCCCTCCCCTCAGCCCATGCCAGCACCCCCTGGACCCCACCACAGCCCCAGCCCCCCGAGGGCTGCAGGGCAGGGCCGTACCCACCATGATGGCCAGGAGAATGTTCTGGAACTCGTTGCGGAAGCCCAGGGTGTAGGTGCAGAAGAGGGCAAAGTTTCCCTCCAGCAGCTGTGGAAAAGGCAGGCAGGGCTCAGGGGGGACACAGCCAGCCACCCCAGGGTGACATCTGTCCCCACACGGCCACAGCCCCAGCGCAGGCAGGGGAAGGAATCGGCCACTGACCGAGGGCACGAGGCCTCATCCTCCTCTGGCTCATCCCCCACGGGCTCCCAGCCCCTGGGATCATCCCCACACTGCTGCTCCCTGTCCCCAGCCCTCCCAGCTCACCATGAAGGCCAGCGAGGTGAAGAGGAAGCCGGCGATGAGCTTGATGTAGGGCCCGTGGTTCATCACCAGCTTCAGCCCCTGGAAGAAGGAGACAGGCTCGTCCGACTGCAGCTCAGAGGCCTCTGGGGAGCAGAGATCAGCCCAGCGTTAGAGCCCACCCAGAACAGCCCCATCCAGCTGCTCAGCACCCTCCACAACCCCTGCCCACCCACCCAAGGGAGTCAGGGCAGCCCCCGCCCTCACCCAAGGGTCCCTCAGCCCCACGGAGCAGCTGATTCCCCCAGGACAGGCAAGGAGAGGGAAGGACAGAAGTTTGGATATCACATCCTCCCCCCGGGATGCCCTGGTTGGCACTGGCAAGCTTGGCCAGCCAAAAAATGGGTGAGATAAAGGTTATCTAACAGACCCCAGAGGTGCTCTGGCCTCCTGCAGCACCTCCCCAGACCCAGAGCTCAGCTCCACTTGCCCTTCTCCTCGGGGAGACCCAACAGATGAGGGGCCAAAAGCTCGGCCAGGCTCCAGGACAGGAAGGAACAGCATTTCCAGAAGCATTCCCGAGCACCACAGCCCCTCCCCAGCCTCACCTCTCCTCTCCTTCACGCCCAGCAGCAGGATGAGGGCACAGAGGATGTAGAGCCCCCCGATGACCCCCGCAGCGATCATGTAGGCGTTCCTCTGTGCAAGAGAGGGAGCAGCACTCAGGGAAGGGGCTCATCCCTGCCCTCATGGAAGGGCAGAGCCCTCAGGGAAGGGGCTCATCCCTGCCCCCAGGGAAGGGCAGAGCCCTCAGGGAAGGGGCTCATCCCTTCCCTCAGGGAAGGGGCTTGTCCCTGCCCTCAGGGAAGGGCAGAGCCCTCAGGGAAGGGGCTTGTCCCTGCCCTCAAGGAAAGGGCAGAGCCCTCATGGAAGAGGCTCATCCCTTCCCTCAGTGAAGGGGCTCGTCACTGCCCTCAGGGAAGGGGCTTGTCCCTGCCCTCAGGGAAGGGCAGAGCCCTCATGGAAGAGGCTCATCCCTTCCCTCAGTGAAGGGGCTCATCCCTGCCCTCAGGGAAGGGGCTCTGCCCTCAGGGAAGGGGCACATCCCTGCCCTCAGGGAAGGGCAGAGCCCTCAGGGAAGGGGCTCATCCCTGCCCTCAGGGAAGGGGCTCTGCCCTCAGGGAAGGGGCTCGTCCCTGCCCTCAGGGAAGGGCAGAGCCCTCAGCGAAGGGGCTCATCCCTGCCCTCAGGGAAGGGCAGAGCCCTCAGGGAAGGGGCTCATCCCTTCCCTCAGGGAAAGGGCTCATCCCTGCCCTCAGGGCTGCACACATCAGGGGACCCCCAGCTTACAGTGTCTGTGAGAGACCCGGTGTCGTGGGTCATGTTCAGCTCCTCCATGGCCACCGAGGAGTTGGTCAAGCCGAAGAAGAAAGGGCTCCCAACGCAGGGAGTGTCCACTTTGCCAACGATCTGGCCCTGGATGGCAGTGCCCAGCACGGTGCCCAGCACCTCCACAGTCATTCCTGGAGGGAGAGGCCAAGCAGGGCTGAGCACAGCCCGTGTCCACAGCAGAGCATCTCCAGCTGGGATTCACTGCCCTTCCCGGGGAGAAATGAGCCAGCTGTGCTACAGATGCCTCCAAATCCCCAAGGGATGAGGAAAAATAAAGGGGGGAGGAAAAAAGGAGGGGAGGAAAAAGGGGAGATCTTACGGTAGGCAGTGGCAGAGTCCCGCTCGCTCTGCTCCCTGCTGATGAACATGGTCAGTGCTGAGTAAGGCACATGGAAGCACTGCAATGGCACAAGAATTGGCTCAGGGATGATGCCACAGCCCAAGGGACCTGGGGCAAGGTGGTTTCTGCCCTTCTGTGCACCTCAGGGATTGGCAGCCTCCCTGCCAGGTGTGAGCAGCGCCTGACTCACCGTCACGAGGGTCTGGAAGGCACAGTAGAAGACAAGGTACCACATCACTTGTCCTGTGGAGATGTCTGGCACAAACCAGATGAGGAAGTAGGAGATGATGGCGAAAGGGGTGGAGAACATGATCCTTTGAGAGAACAAAGTGTCAGCCTCGTGGGCACGGCCTGAGCAGCCCAGCTCTCCCTGCTCCCACACATCCCATGAGCTCAGGCATCTGATCTGGGGGCTCCTGAGCTGCCCCAAGGCTGATCCAAAGCAGCCTGGAGGCAGCAGCTCAGACGTTACAGGGTCAGAAGAGCTGACTCAGAGTTCCAGGGAAGAGCTTTCCTTGCACTAACAGATGTGTCTCCTTCCACAGAAGCGATTGATCTGCTCTTGCCTTGGGTTTCCACCCCCAGTCCCGACCTCTCCCCTGGGCAGCACTGCTGTGTTCAGCTGGATGTAATCACCCCTCTCATCCTGGCAAGGGCTGGCCAGGCAGCTCAGCCGTGCTCCCCAGCAGCCAAAAACCTCTCACCAGCTTGGCTTTACTGCCAAGGCCCCCCCAAGCCCAGGTCCTGGGGTCAGCCCTGCACTGCTGGCAGCACTGGAGCAAATCAGAGGCCAGCAGCAGGCTGGCTCCTTCCTCCACCTCTGCCCAACCTTCCAGAGCCACGGCAGCAGAGACATGGGATGCAAAATGCAACAGAGGACCAGAGGGGACTGCTCAAGTGCTGGGCCTTGGCAGCAATTCCTGCAGGATCTGCCAGCAAGGGCATCTGCCCTCTTCATCCCGTGGATCTCATAACCCCTGTCCTGCTGCAGGACAGCCAGGGCACAGCTCTGCCCTGCTCCAGCACCCCGGGGACACCACAAGCACCCAGAGCCCCCCATCCCTCGGGGGAGGAAGGGAGAGGGAAGTGCTGAGGTTAGACCCACATCTGTTTAGGAGATGGATTTTGCTGGGGATTTGTGAGCGCCCTGTGCTCCACAAACCCCAGGACAGAGGCTGTGAGGTCCTGGAGCGAGTCCAGCAGAACTGGACATGGGACAGAGCCACTCACAGCCAGGGCTGGCCCTTCCCTGCCAGGATACAGCGAGATCTTTCCATCTGGGCTGACGCAGAGGACGCAAAGCTCAAACTGAAAGTCAGGGAGAGAGCGAGAACGAGAAACTCCATGGATGGAGAGCAGCGACAGAGGCTGCACAGGACCCAACACATGCACATTTTTCTGCACCCACGTCACCCCGTTGGGGAAGGAAGGGGGGGAGGAAAGCGCCGAACAGCTCCAGCCCCTCCTCTTCGCTGCTTATCTGCGCTCCCATACGCGGAGCCAAGGGGAACGCGGAGCCAAATGTTGAATGAAAGCACCGGAACAGAACCGCGTCACGCTCTCGCCATCGCATGAGCGTCAGACGGACCGATTTCCCCTCAGCTGAGCCTCGGCCAGGGCTGACCACAGCTCCTGGCAGGCAGGAATGACTGAGAGTAACCCCTGACCCAGGGCGAGGTGATTAAGGAGCTCGGAGGCAGCGGTGACGTGCCCTGGCGCTCATTGGCCCCGCTCGATGGTGTGTTCCTTTGTGCCACTCGCACGCCCCTTCCCAGCCAGCCTGAGCTGCTGGCAAACGGCTGCTGGCCCTGGAAGAGGTCAAAACCAGGGGTTCCTCACTCACAGACACCTCAAGGAAAAGTTCAGTCAGCGGGAAGTCCGCTGTGGTCAAGGAAACGCGGATCCCAGCTCAGGGCTGGGGGCTGAGTGACGTCCACGAGGCTGGTGGGGAAGGAGGAAGCAGACAGTGAATGAGCTGGTGGGAGGAAATGCGCCAAAAAAGTGCTTCAAAGAGGGAGGACTGAAAGGGGGAGAGGTGCTGGCCCTCAGGGAAGGTGTCCTCTCCCTTCCGAGGAACTGGAACAGCCACGAGCTTTGTGCTGGAGCCAGCTGGGCTTGGTCCCACAGATCAGCCCAGCAACAAACCCTCACAGACGGCGGGGTCACCTCACAGGTGTTGAGCTTGGGGTCAGGCAGCAGCCTTGAGACCACCCCAGTGCCTGGCTTTGCACGCAGGGAAACTGAGGCAGAGCCAGCAGCAACACCAGCCCGGGGCTGCACAGCCCCGCAGAGCCAGAAAAACCTGGGTTTAAGAGGTTTAAAATCAGCTCAACTCCATCCAAACGGGGGCTCAGCGGGCAGCCCTTGAGCCATGCACAACAGCAGCGAGCTGCGGCTGCCCCGGCGCTGCCGAGGGGCCCAGCACAAGCAGAAACTCCGGCTAATTTTAACGAAGCTGCTCGCAGGAATGCGGCCACTTCAGTCCCACCCCCTGCCTGGAGATTAGGGCGAACTGAGCCACCCCCGTGGCCGTCCCACACCGCCCAGCCAGCCCCGCGCTAATCTCCGGACCCCAGACCCTGCTGCAGGCAGGGAGAAGCTATTTCAGGCCACGTGTGTGGAGCCTGCCTTCAACAACTGCCTGCTGCTGCTGCCCAGAGCTATTCCAGGAAAGCCAGGAAGCAGAGGGTATAATTGTGTGGGGGAAAGCACTGCGTCCCTCCAGCTCCACTCCCCCCGTGCCCACCCTGGCTGTATCTCAGCCATCCCACAGGCGCACGAGGTTATTTTGGCCACCCCGTCCCCACTCAGGCATTAATGCTCCGCATCCCGTGCGGGAACATTAAGGTGTTCAGGGATGTCCTAAGCCTGCCCCGGGTGCAGGCACGAGCCATTTTGGGGCTCGCAGAGCCCTTCCCATCTGCTCCCGAGGGCAAAGGGAGGTGTGCAGACACCCAGATCCAGGACAGCTGTCTGCCTGCCCAGGAAGCATCCTCGTGACTGTCAGCCAGCGCTTCCACCGCCACAGATCTGCCACACACACCCCTGACCCTTCTCCCTGTGGCTGTGATGCCACCGGCTCTGGCTGTCACCACAGCCAGGGCTCTGCAGCCACCACAGGAACAAAGTCCACAATTGGTGGCAGGAACATTGGAGCTTGCAGGTGCAGTGACATTGAGGTCAGCCAGGCTCAGCTTGGAAGCAGCAAGCGCAACAGGCACAAGCTTGAGGCCACCCAGCTGTTGGTGGCACCTGGAGCTTTTTGGAGCTCTTGGCACCACACCTGAGTGAGCCAGGGCATCAGCACATCCTGCCCTGCATGCCTCAAGGCTGACTGGAAGAGCTGTTGCCACATCAGGCAGGGAATGCAGGGCTACCAGCAGCTCTTACCAGGGCATCAGGCGGCCGAAGCGGGTCCAGGAGGTTTTGCTGATGAAGAATCCCACCATGGGGTCCGTGATGGCATCCCACGCTCGTCCCGCGAACAGGATGATGGAGGCATAGAAAGCGTCCACCTGCAGGAGGAGGAACTTGTGTCAGGACATGCAAACCCCCGGTGCTGCCAGCCACCCTTCCTGAGCCCCCCACGACCCTTTAGGAGCAGCCCCTCGGTCTCTCCCCCTCGTTCAGAGGGATTCGAGGCTCCCAGCACCTCCGAGCGCAGAATTCCCACATCTCAGAGCCCCCAAATCCAGCACAAGGGAGCCCAGGGGCTCTTCCCCCACCTGCGAGTTTCCTTCCCTCCGTGTTTCACACCGACCCAGCACGCTGAAGCTCTGCAGGACGGGTCCTGCTCTCCCCAAAACCACCCCCCACCACCCCGCTTCGTCCCGCACAACACGCGTGGGACCGGCCCGGGGGCACAGCCGCATCCCCCGGGGGTCGGGGCTCCGCCAAGCCCCGCGCGGCTCCATCCCCGGAGCCAAGCGGCACCGGGAGCTCGGTGACCCGCAGCCCACATCCCGGCCGTACCTGCGCCACGTCCAGGAGGTAGATCTGGAGGAAGAAGCCGAGGGCGCAGCCGGTGATCTGGTACGGAGCCCCGCCGACGGCGTAGCACAACTTGCTGCACACCGACAGCCGCTCGCGGCTCTCCTGCAACCGGGACGGGCGTTTAGCGAGCCCGGGCAGCGCCCCCCGCCCCGCAGCGGCCCGGACCCCCCCTCGGCGTGCCCCGGGGCTCACCCTGCGGCGGTGCTGGCGCAGCGCGGCCGGCAGGAGCCCCCCGGCCCCGGGCCGCTCCGCGCCGCCGCCCCCGGCCATGCCGTGCGCGATGAATGGGCCGAGCCGCCGCCGCACGCCCTTGTACCGGGAGACCCGCCCCGAGCTGGGCAGCACCGGCCCGCCCCCACCGCCTCCTCCTCCTCCTTCTCCTCCTCCTTCTCCTCGTTCGGTCCCGGCCCTTCCCCTCGGTGCTTTCTTCAGCTCTCCTCTGTCCCACATCGCTCCATTCCCCCGTTCTTCACCCCTCATCCCACCCCGCTCTATCCCTGCTCTCCATCCCAGCCCTTCTTCCCTCAGAATCGCAGCACGGTTGGGGTTGGAAGGAGCCTTACAGCCCATCTCATGCCGCCTCCCTGCCAGGTTGCTCCGAGCCCCGTCCTCCCTGGCCGTGAGCACTTCCAGGGATGGAGCATCCAGCACCTCTCTGGGCAACCTGTGCCAATGCCCCATCCCCCTCATGGTTAAAAACTTTCTTTACATCGCACTGAAATCTCCCTTCTTTCAGTTTAAACCATCACCCCGTGTCCTGTCACAACAGGCCCTGCTAAAAAGGATGCAGGGGACACTCACAGTGTCCCCATTGCTGGATGGCCACATGGATCTCGGTCCCAGACCCTCTCAGCAGCTCCGGGTGCCACGTGAACACACCCAGACCCGTGTCAGTGTCCTGCCACCACAGTGACAGCCACCAGCTGCCCTTGGCTCAGGCCACCAGGGTTCAAAGATTGCCCTGAGACGAGGCTGTGGAGCAGGGCTGAGCCAAGGGGGCCAGCGTGGCACCAGTGCCATGCCCTGAGTGCCACCTGGAGCTGGGCACGGGGGTGGGAACAGGCAGGGAGATCAGCACACCCACCTGGGATGCAGGAGAACCTGAGAGATGGGCACACATGGGTGGGTGGGTGGCCCAGCAGCTCCAGGCACTCCCAGTTTTTGGGAGCACTGAGCTGGTGTCACCACTGACTCAGTTCCAGTGGGTTCTCCTGGCACTGCCTTGTGTCACAGTGATACCACCCCCTGGGCTCGGGGCCTGTGTGAGGCTTCAGGGTGTCCAAATCAGTGACACAAAACACCTCGAAACAAGAGAGGAGTGAGTGGATAAAGTCTCCCCTTTCTCAGGGAAAATCTCTTGCCCAGGAGCAGAGGGAACTCCTGTGGTGGCACTTGACCATGCTCTGGGGACCAGACTCCCCAGTGTGTGTGACCCCAGAACCATTCCTCTGTTCCCTTTGTCCTGGGGGCTCCTCAGCTCCTGGGAATGCTTTTGGCATTCCTGTCCTTGAGCAGAGCTGCCTCCTGGGCAAACAGGGCTTTAGGGGAACAAAGAGAGGCCTTTGAGTCAGAGATTGTGCAGAAAGAGCACAGATAGGGGAACCCAGCCTTGCAGATGAAGAGGAGAAGTAGACAGAGCAGGATTTCCCTGGATTAGGAGGATTTTCTCCCCCCAGATCTGGTATTGCACAATTTCCGCTGGGGGATTTAAGCCCTTCCTCCTCAGCAGATGCTCTGGGGGATCCTCATGGTGATGAAGGACCCACCAAGGGCTGATCCCAGTGGAGATGTCCCTGCAGCAGCTCCTGCCAAGCCGGGAGACTCCAGGGACCCACAGGTGGTTGGGGTTGGGTCACTCACAGGGTCACCCTGGTCACCAGAACCACTTCAGTGACATTACACCAGCCTGGCCTCCACATCCCCCAGCTAGGGACACCACTGGGGCCTCTTGAGGGATGGCACCCAAATGCTGGCCCTGGGGACATGGAAGGATTGGGGCTCCAGTGCAGGATGGGGACTCCAGTGCAGGACTGGGACTCCAGACTCCAGTGCAGGACTGGGACTCCATTGCAGGATGGGGACTCCAGTGCAGGATGTCACCCCTCCTGCTACCCACACCTCCCACTGTCACACATCCGGCACAGCCTGGAGCAGCATCTGAGCAAGTGTGAGAGCACCCGAAACCAGACAGCCCTGCCAGGCTGGGCCAGCCCGGACAGGGAGCGTGGGCCTGGGGGCAAACAGCAGAGAGGTGATCCCAGAGCTCCTGGGGGGCCACAGACCTGGAAACAGCAGTGCCTGACAGCACAGAGTTCTGCAGGGCTCAGGGCACCTCCTGCTGCCGGGCAGGGAGTGACAGTGACAAAACGAGTGAGGGGGCAGCAGGGCAGGAACCAGCGGTGCATTTTCCTCTCCTTTTCTCTGTACTCTCAGAGTGGGTGGCTGCACGCCCAAGGAGCTGGGGCTGTGGGCACTGTCCCCCTCCCTGTCAGGCTGGGCAGCTTTTAGTGCCGTTCCTGCAGCCCAAAGGGGTTTGGGATGGCATTCTGCAAACCTCCAGCCAGACTCGGAGCCTGCTGCCCAACAGCTTCTCGGGGACAAAGGGGACTCATTGCAGGGTTACACGTGGCGTGTCACAAGGCAGAGGGGGACGAGACGGGGCCAGGATGCGTTGGCACAGCCTCTGCTCCCTCTCTGAGCATCCGAGGTTCCCATGGGCATGGCAGAGTGGCTCAAAGGCCGCGGTGGGGTGGGGACAGCCAGAGGCAGAGCCCAGGACAGGCCTGAGACGCCTGCCAGGCTCTGGGGTCTGGAGCTTCAAAGCCCAGCCCTGCTGGAAGTGGCGATCCAAAGGGCACAGGGCCACCAGGAGCTGCCATTGCATCATGTGTGGAGCCGTGCCAGCCGCCCCGGCTCCCGTGGGGCTGTGCCAGCACCGGGGGCAATCAGGGCCACATCTGGCACCCTGTGCCAGCACCCTGCAGCTGTGGGGCATGGCCAGGGTTATGCTGCCCCTCTGTCGCTGTCACCGCAGCCCCCGGGGGCAGTCACCCACCCTGTTTGCACAGCCGGTGGCTCTCGGGCGCTGTTTGCCCAGCGCCTGGAGAGGCCGGGATCAAAGGGCTGCGCGGCCCCTCCCGGCGCTGCTGCTGCACCTTCCAAGCATCCGGAGCCCCTCGGAGCCCGGAGCAGCTCCGGCCTCGCCCTGGCAAAGCCGCGGCCGCCCCAGAGACCGCGGGAGGAAGGAAAGAAGGGAGGAAGGGGACGTGGCCGGGCGATGCAGGCTGGAGGAGGGCGCGCTGCTGTTGGAGCAGGCGGCAGGGGCAGTGCCAGCCGTGTTGTCCCCAGCCACGGCCACTTGTCGCTGCAGGTGCTGGGACAGCAAAAGCCGTGTGGCAGCTCAGTCCCTGCCTCAGTGCGGGGCGATTTGTTTCCTGAGGGGGAAGAGAGGGCTTCAGGGAGGGAGAAGGACACGCCGGGACACACCGGGACACACCGGGACACACCGGGACACGGCGGGACACACGGGGACACGCCACCCGCTTGGGGACCGCGGGACAGCCGCCAGCCCAGCGCCCGCTCCCAGCGCTGCTCCTCTGCTCGCCCAGTGCCCGCTGGCAATGGGGAAACTGAGGCACGGGGTGATGGGCAGCGCTGTCCCCCGGGCGGGGGTGCCCGGTGCGGTGTCCCCCGCGCGTCCCCGGCCCCGCCGCTCACGGACGCTGCTCCCGGGGCCGGCAGGTGGCGCCCCGCGCCCGCCGGTGGCGGCGGACGGGGCCCGGCACCGGGCGGGACCGGGGGGGACCGGGGGGACCGGGGGGAGCTGTGCTGGACCGGACCGGGCTGGGCTACATTGGACTGAGTGCACTGGGCTGTACTGGGCTGCACTGGGCTGGACTGGGCTGTGCTGGTCACTGCTCTGGGCTGTACTGGGCTGTACTGGTCCGTGCAGAGCATTGCAGTGCTGGGCTGCACTGGTCGCTGTACTGGGCTGCACTGGGCTGCACTGGTCGCTGCACTGGGCTGCACTGGGACAGTTTCCTCCCTCCAGGGCCGGTGCTGCACCCCGGGCAGCTCCCAGATCCCGTGGCCTCACCCACAGCGAGGGAAGCAAGGAGGGTGCTGGGGCTGCAGTGGGTTCACACACACTGTGAGAGGAATCTGTTGGTTCAGGGTGGACTTTGTACCTCTGTGTGCGTGTGGGAGAGAGAATTAAGTGCAGGAGGGAAAGCTCCACTGTGTTTTCACAACATTTATTGCCCTTTCTAGGAGGAACTTGCTGTTGGAGAGATGCAGCATCCTGTGCTGCATGGGCAAAATGCTGCTGGGGGGAGCTGTGTGTGTCCCAGACACCCCAACTTCCCTCTGGCTCCTGACATCCCCAGGGGCTCCCAACCCTTCCACAGCCCTTTCTCTGTGCACAGACCTTATTCCTCATGAGCACTGTGCCCCTCAGCCCTGTTTTTCGGGTATCCCCACAGCCCCTCCTTATTTCAGCCGTTTTTTTGCTGGAGTTGGTGTTTTTCAGGGGGAAAATTCCCCCAGCTGGGCCCGTGAGGGCTTTGGGAAGGAGTGAGGATGTGGCATCCTGAGCTGGACACCAACACGAAGTGACCCCACTGCTGCCCAGTGCCACAGCCACTCTCCTGCCCATGGTGTCACCGTCCGCTGTGCGCTGGGCAGCCCAACAGGAGCTGGGGTGACAGCCCAGCACATGAAAAAGAGCCTCAAAAAATCATCCGGCAGCAGATGATGCCTCCTCGTGTCTTGTCCCCTGTTCTCCGGTTGGCTTTGCCCTCATCCCCAGCCTGGCGGCACCGCTGCGTGCCCCTCCTCAGTGCTTGCAGAGGGGGTCCCCCCAAACCCTGCCCCTCCCGGGGGGGCGAGGACGGCGCTGGGAGCCCCCGGGGGCAGCGAGGAGCCCCCAGCCCGGCACTGCCGGTCCAGAACCCCCTGAGCATCCCCGGTAGCGACACCGGGGACCCCCGGGGGGGGCGAAGAACCCCCCCAACCGGGCCCCCCCGGGGGCGGGGCACGGGGGACACAGCCACGCCCTTTATGCAAATCTTCGCGCTGCGATTGGCGGAGGCGGGGCCGGGCTCCGCGGCCGGGCTATAAGAGCGGGGGAACAATGCGCCCGCGGTCCCGGCTCGGGGGCTGGCGCCGGGGTGGGGGTCCCCCCTCATCCCTGGGGCTGCCCCTCTCCTGAGCGCCCCTTCTTATCTCGGCAGCCCCTTTCCCCGTGCCGAGATGGAGTTTGACTCGTACCAGCACTACTTCTACGATCACGACGCCCAGGAGGATTTCCACCGCTCCACGGCACCCAGCGAGGACATCTGGAAGAAGTTCGAGCTGGTCCCCACGCCCCCGCTGTCCCCGCTGGGCACTCCCGGGGACAAGGGGTGCTGCTCGGCGGCGGAGGAGCGCCCGGGATGGCTCTCCCGGTACTGCCTCGCCGGGGAAGAGCCGGAGTATCTCATAGGGACGGGGCAGATCTTCGGGAACCTGAGCGCTTTCATCCTCAAGGATTGCATGTGGAGCGGATTTTCGGCGCGGGAGAGATTGGAGAAGGCGATGACCGAGAAACTTTCCACGGGCACGCAGAGAGCCACCCCGCACAAACCGTCCTTCGCGCAGGATTTTGGCTTCAGCAGCTCCGTCAGCGAGTGCGTGGATCCCGCTGCCGTCTTCCTTTGCCCGCTGGCAGAGAGCAAGATCCCCGCATCCTCGGGATCCGAGGGCCAGAGCGATTCCGGTAAGGGATGGAGCCGCTCCGCCGCCGAGCTGCCCCCAGCCTGGCTGGAGCCCGGCGTGGGGAACACGCGTGTCCACACATGTGTGTGCAGGGAGCCTCCCAGCCGGGCTGCGCCTTTGTTGAGACTCCAAGCGAGCCCCGGTCCCGGCCCCACGAACAAAGCGGGCTCGGCTGTTCCCCTTTCCCAGCCCGGTTTATGCTCGGGAAGCCCCTGTCCCTCTCGGGAGGGTGCGTGGGCCTCCCCCCGGCTGTTGCGTGGGACTCTGGTGGTCCCTTTCCCTCGCCCCGGCCCCACAGAAACCTCGTGGGAAGGTTGAAGGGCAAGTTTGCAGCTCACCCTGCGAAGTTTGGGGCTTTGAGCGCTGCACCGCGCTCTGCCGCCGGCTCGCGAATTCGGCTGCTCCCGGTTCTTCCTCCCACGGCCCACCCGGGACGGGCTTCCCTCGGGACAAAAGGCAAAATACGCCCTGGGGACAGCAGGTTTGGGAGCAGCGGCGTGTCCCCCGAGGCGCTGGCTCGGTAGGACGGGCAGGAACAGCCGCCCCGGCTGTGGCGTGGCCCAGCCCAGCCGCGGGGCACGTCTGCCCGTCCCGCGTGGGGTGTGCGCGGGTGTTCGGACGCGGATACCTCCGAACCCCCCCGCTGCCCCGCATCTCTCCAATCTCACGCCAATTTTCGGTGTTATTTGCAAACACCCTGCGGCTCTGCACAACCCCCCCCGCCCCGTAGCCCCGCGTGCTCCCGTGCGTTGTTCCCCTCGCTCCCGCGGAGCCCGGGCTGACTCGGCTGCCGTGGGAGCGCTGCCGCGGTGCCGTGACCCCGTTAATAAATCTGCCGGTGGCCGCCACCTGCGCCGGTGAGTCACGGCGCGGGGCTTAATGCCATTAGTAGCCCGGGGACTGTAAGCCAGGTCGCGGGCGTTAAGAGGCTTTAGCCGAATGTGCGGGGCCCGCGGGGATGCCGGTGGGGTCCCGGTGCCGCGGGGGTCCCGGAGGGGTCCGGCCGCGCCACGTGGGCGCCGAACAAAAAGCAACAGATTGCAAACAATGAGAGGGGCAGCGCTGATGGACAGGAGCGCGGACCAATGGGATGGCGGAACGGCAGGCCGGACCCGCAGGACAGCCAATGGGTGCATGCGGGGGGCGGGGCTAGGCGGCCGGAGTTTTTATTAATGAGCGTGTGTGTGTACGGGGCTGAGACCGCGCGGGTTGTGACACCCATTAATGCGTGTCCCCCGCCCACGAGCTCCACTATCGGGGGTTTTGGCCTTCCTGGGCTGAACCCCAAAGCCTGCAGGGGTTGGGGTATCGGCTGGGGCCACTATCAGAAACCCACTGGCCCCCTGAGGCGAGTGGGGCCAGGCCCACGATGCTGGTGGGGGTTTGAGCACCTCGAGGGACCTCTAGCAAGTGGCTGTCTTTTCTCCCAAAGCTTAGGAAAAAAGTTGGAGGCTCATCCCCTAAAGTGAGAGCGATCGTGGCGGATGTGACTGTAGCCTGCTCACCTCGCTGTCCCCAAAGCCAGCTCCCTGCCACTGGGCTCTGCTGGGACGGGACAACTGCAGTGCCAACAGGCAGAATGGGGCCAATTCTGTTTTATTTTAGGTCTTTCTGTTTCTGGGCTTGAGATGCCTTTGAGGTTCAGTGTCTGCTGTAGGGACCTCTTCACCTCTCCCTCCCTCCCTGCACAGTGGGGGATTGTCCCCTCTGTCCCCGGGAAGCCGGGGCTGAATGGGCTTTATCACTTGTGAAAAGTAACAAGTCACCGAGGTGGGAAGCTGCAGCCAAGGGGAACAAAGGGTATTTCTGCCCTTATATCCCTCATTTACAATTCCAATGGGCCATGAAAGCACCCGACCGGGATGAACTTTGGAACTAGGCTGTCCCAGCATCCTGCTCCTCCAGTTCACCCCCACCTCGCAGGAGGGCTCGGGTGTTTCTTTCCTGATGGTCCTTTATGGTGAACACATGTTGCTCCTGGTGCTGAAGTGAGGCGGAAGTAAAGCCTCCCAGGCACATGAAACAGGGAGGGAATTCCACTCCTCCCCACGTGATGGTATTGAAGGGGCACTTAAATCACTCAATCCCTTCTGGAGGTCGCAGAGTTTACAGTGCATGAGCAATCTTTAGTGGGGACGTTTTCCAGGGAACTGTGGGGACCCCAAGAAAGGTGACAAAGGGTGACTGAGCGTTCCCAGCTGATGGGGATTTGTTCTTTCTTTTCCACGAGAGCAGAAGGCGAAGAGATCGACGTGGTGACCGTGGACAAGAGACAATCTCTCGGCCTGAGGAAGCCGGTCACCATCACGCTCCGTGCTGACCCCCTGGACCCCTGCATGAAGCGCTTCCACATCTCCGTCCACCAGCAGCAGCACAACTACGCCGCCCGCTCGCCGCCAGACCCCTGTCCCCCGCCCGAGTCCCCCCAGCAGCACCAGGAGGAGGACGAGCCCCCCAGCACCGCGGAGCCGGCCCCTGCCACGACCTCGCCTGAGCCCGGCTTGCCAAAACCCAGCGGCAGCCCCGGCTCGGACAGCGAGGACGTGGCCAAGAGGAAAAACCACAACTACCTGGAGCGCAAGCGGCGCAACGACCTGCGCTCGCGCTTCCTGGCCCTGCGGGACCAGGTGCCCGGGCTCGCCGGCTGCCCCAAGACCCCCAAAGTGGTGATCCTGAGCAAATCCTCGGAGTACCTGCAGTCCCTCATCGGCGCCGAGAAGAGGATGGCCGCTGAGAAGCGGCAGCTGCAGCTGCGCCAGACCCAGCTGCTCAAAAGGATTGCTCACCTCAAGGGGCACTAGCACCCGGTGTGTCCCCCCCACCCCTGGTCCTCACAAACCCCCCAGCTCCTTCTCAATTTGCACATTTTTTTTTATTTTTTGGTTGCTTGTCGAACTGTTGGCCCCGGGGGCTGGAGCGCGTAGCAGTGGGAATGGGTCCGGAGCAGAGACCCCAACAGCATCACATCATAGCTGGGGTTGGTTCCTGGCACTGGGTATTCCAAAATTTCCCTCATCCCTGCTGTGAAGCTTCCTCAGTGACTGCTCCAGTTCAAGAGCTCAAATTTATTGCCCCACCCCAGCAGCCCCTGCACCACTCTCTGCCGTTTTCCACCGACAGCATCACTGGGAGCTACCCCTGAGCATCCAGCTCGCCCTAAAAATCCCAAGCAACCACGTCTGCCTTGGCTCCTGGAAGCAGGCAGGCTCAGATCCCAGCACAGGATGGCAGGATGTGCCTCTCGCTGGGATGAGCAGCACCCCGTGGGCAGTCCCCTTGCTCGGCTGGACCGTACCTCACCTCCTCGTGTCACTTCACGCAGTAGCCGGTCCTGGATTTTGTGTTCTAGAAACTGCTGCTGTAACTGCGAGTCTTATACTGGAGCCTGTGTTTTTATACTGTATTTTTGTACCACTTTTTGAGAAGTATTGGTAAAGAGTTTGCTTTTTTTATATATATATAAATATATATAAACTTTTTTTTTTTTTTAAAGTGGGATTTCCTGCTGTGGGGGAGGGCTCAGTCCTGCTGCACTTTAGGGAGATCAGGAAGGGGCTGGCTCCTGCTGGACCCTTGAGCTGAGTCCTCGCAGAGGCCATTCACCCCCTTGCAGCTCTCCAAACCACCCATTTGCAATAACAGGGAATTTTATTTCCCTTTTCCCACCCTTGTGACCCCTTTTCCCACCCTTGTGAGTTCTCCTTCACCAGCAGCCACTTAAAATCCCCAGCAAAGCTTTGGGTTTTGCAGGGGGCTGCTCTGCCTTCCCTGTGTCCTCCTGCTGCCCAGTCTGTGGGTGGCAGAGTCCCCTGTCCCCTCCCAGGGGTGCTGGCAGGGGTGGTCCCACAGGATGGCACCCTGGGGTCCCTGCTGACCTGCTGAGAACTGTTAGAGTTAACACTGATTGGATTTAGCACTTTCTTCATTACCTCATACTTCATAAATAAATAAGTTTGCAACAGCCTGGGTTGGCTTTTTCCATGCAGTTGGCTGTGGGTTTCCATGCATCACCTTGGTGCTCCTGAGGGGGGGCTGCTCTGGGTTTTGGAGTGTCCTGGGCATGAATAAAAATTAATTAATCTATTTTGCCCCAGGGCTCAGCTGCACCAAGACTGAGCTCTTTGTCCTGATTTTCTCCCAGCACTAGAAGAATTGCTTGTGGTCGTGGGGCCAGGGAAATGAATCACCTGGATTATTTTTCCTCCTTTTAAGTGGTTTTAGTGGCGAGGAAGGGCAGAGAGCCCAGGCTGGGCTGGGAGAAGGCTTTGATGTAACTGTAAACCCCCCTAATGGGGGTTTGGGGCAGGGAGTGGGGGGTGATCGCTGCCCCACAGGTCAGGGGCCGGGGCTGTGTCTGGCAGTAACCCTGGAGGGAGGGGGGAATGCAATCCACTGGCTTCCAGAGAGCTCCACATCCCAGACCTGCCAAGTGGGTGAAATTATATATACACGTGTTCCCCCTGCTGCCCCCAAACCTGACACGTTTGGGTTTCCTTTGTCCTGGCAGCAGAAGTCTTACTCTAAATGCAGGAGGGATGTGGGATTATGTTACTGCTGAGGAGCCAGGAGCTGCTGCCGGAGCTTCGATCACCCAGGAGAAACCAGCCTGAAATATCAAAGGTGCCACCCCAAAAAAACACCCATCCCCTTGGGTTCCAGCAGCGTTTCACACTCTGCGTTGCATCACACGGTGTCACAGCCCTTCAGAGCTGCATTAAAAGGTGCTCCCGTGACCCACAGCTTAACCAGGGATCGGGGTGACCTACATCTGACACCTCGCCCATGCGCAGGAGACACAGCCCAGGCGTACCAGCCCCTCAAAGGCTTGTTTTTGTTGTGGTTTTGTGACACTCGCAGCCTGGTGTCTTATCTCAGCTCAAGGTGACCCTCCCGAGAAGGTTTTGAGCAAATTGGGTTTTTTCTTTTTGTGCTGAAGAGATGGAGGAAGTTTAAAGCATTAATTATGTTTCGTGGAAGTGATGAGCAGATCCATGGACCGAGCTGAGACCGTCACCAGTGGGAGATGTCCCCAAAGTCCAAATCAAACCAATTTACAGCTTGTAAACACCTTTGAGTTCCCCTGCCCAAAGCCTGCATTCATGTGTACCTGAAACTTCCCTGGTTACTGGAGCACGTGTCTCCTCTCATATTGTCACGGTCGGGATGAGGGAAGGAGACTGACAGTTCTGTCTATGAAGTGAAGAAAATAAGCACACAGGGCTTTCCTCCTCGCTTGTTCAGCACTGCAATTTGTGAGTGTCAGCTGCAATCATCACAAATCGGCACGGCCAGGGCCTGAATTATTTTTTAACACACGCTGCCCTGCTAACAACCCTGCTCTTTTTGCCGTACCCCCCAAACCACTTCTGCTCGCCCACCACATCTTCCCTCCCGTCTCTACACTGGCCCGGGGGTGTTGCGGGCACGATGCCGCCTTCACGCCTGGGCTGGCAAATTTTTAGGACAGTTTCCCGAGGCGGTGATAATCCCTTCCCTGCCGAGGGGGGCCGGCTGCCCGCACCCCCCTGGCCCGCAGCCTCCCTCTCCCTGTTGCCATGGCGAGGGATGTGTGTTGCCAGGGAGAGCAGCACCGCGGAGGTGCCATGGCAACGGCCTCCCCTTTTCCCTCGCCTCCGTTGCCACGGAGACAGCACCCGCTGCCCATCTCCCGCTGTTGCCGTGGCGATGGGAAGGACGAGCCTCGGTGGATGCTGCGGTCGCCACGGCGACACGCTCCTCTCCGTTGCTATGGCAGCAGCCCCCGAGCATCATCCTGCTCTGCCCCGTTGCTACGGCAACAGCATCCTCCGAGCCGGTCCTGAAAAAAAGCCACCACGGGGCAGAGCCCCACGCGTGGGCAAGGGGGTTTGGGGGGTAACGGGGGACCCGAAAAGCGCCCGCGGGAGCGGGGATGGGTTTGGGCACCCGGGACACGGCGAGGGGACCGGGCTGAGTGTGAGGACCCAGGGCACCGAGAGAACCGGGCTGAGTGTGGGCACCCGGG